AAAGAAAGAAAGAAAGAAAGAAAAAAAGCCAACCCTCCCCAAATCATGGCAAGTTTCTGCCCTACCACGGGTGTGCTGAGCTCTGTGGGTTCTCAGCGCCCGTGCGGTCTCGGACTTGCCATGACGTCACACGTGAGCTCAGGCGACGTCAGTGTTCGTAGGACCGTGGGCATGGTGCGGCCACCACTCTGAGGTACAAAGAGAGAAAAATGGGGGAAGGAGCAAATGACACCCAGCAGCTCCTGTGTCCAGAGGGCCCAAAGAAGAAGGGCGACGGGAAGGGCCGTGCCCTGGTCCCTGCTGCCCCCTGGTGGCCCGCATTGTCCCAGCACCAGCCTGCCAGGGCTCCCCAAGTGCAGTCCAAGTAGTTGCAGCCCAGGTTACTTGAGTCGACATCGTCTTCTTCTGCTTTTTTTTTTTCCCACAAATTCTCCTGCATTGGGGAACAGCACAAGCATTCAGGGTACCCTAAACCCAGCTGTGTGGCACCGGGTCAGTCTGACACCTCTCAGATCACATCCTCATCTGTAAATGGTACCTGTCTCATGAGGCTGTGGTGAGAATGGAAATACATCACTTCGTGAGCCCTTGGAATGGTTCTCGAACACTTAATGCTTTATAAAGCATTCGCTAAGCTTACTCTCGATGTCCCACTGAGTGTGTCTGGATGGTGTGGGAGTAGGTAGGGCAGTAAATCATGGTCAAGGAAAATGACATCCTTGGGACCAAGGACAGAACAAGTCAAGTCCAGAAAAAAATGTGCCCCACTGTCACCACCCTGTGTCTGCACATGTCCTGGTCCTGTCTCTCCATAGGGTATGTGCAGAGTGACTCTTCACTGTTTTTCCTTTGCCGCGCTGGGGATGATGAACACGGAGGCTCACAACAGGCAAGCACTCCACTGCTGAGCCATCCCACACCTCTCTACCACTGCATAGCACCAACTTTTCAAAGGTCAAGTTCTGTCATCCCAGATCGTGCCATGCAGACCCAGTCCAAGTCCCTCATACAACGCCCCTCCCTAATGTTATTAATTTGTGATCTGGGCTGCAAACAGCTGCATTGCAACTGTCTCTGGAGCCTGTCCCCTTTGATGAACTCTGGTCCTGGCCACTCTGACTTACTCCTGTGTATTGTGTGCCTACCCTGGCATGGTCCTGCCTTGATTTCCAGCTGGACACCTCAGTTCAAGTCACTCTACACCGTTATCCTTTGCTATCATGGGACCACAGGTCACACTGACAGTTCTTCCTAACCAGAAAGCACGAGACGGTGCTTTGCCACCTTCCTTCCACTCTGTATGTGACGTACGG